TGGGGGGTGGGGGGTGGGGATGAGAGCGGGGAGGGAGCAGGCCCACTGCCTGTTAAGGCAGATTCCCAGGAGTCATTACACAGCACACTGACTCCTATTCTATTGAGCAGAACTTAGTCATCAGATGCAAGGAATCCTGAGAAATGTAATACTCATTCTAGGTTCTTCTTTACTCAGCTAGAAGCTATTACTTGCAAGAAGGAAAGGCTAGATACTAAGGAACAGCTAGCTGCCTGTCTCTTCCCATCTGATAAAATTAATCATGTAGAAAGCTTTGAAGAAAAAACAAACAAACAAAATGTTTAACAGCTGTTATCTCTAGATAACAAGGACCAGGACAATTTAAAAATTATTCTTGTGCCCTGGCCAGGGAGCTCAGTTGGTTAGAGTATCGTCCTGATATGCTAAGGTTATAGGTTTGATCCCTGGTCAGGGCACATATAAGAATCAACCAATGAATGCAGGGATGGGTGAACAAGAAATCCATGTTTCCCTCTCTCAATCAATTTAAAAAATTATTCTTGACCCTTTTCTATGTTTTTTTGATTTTTTTGTGATACCTATGAAATTAGAAAGTAATTATTATTTTGAAGAACAAAATACACATTTCCTCTGTCAAAGTAGAACTTCATTTCTTCTTCCATTCTTTTGATTACAGTGGGGCCTTGAGATACCAGCTGTCTCTTGGCCGATTTTTTGCATTGAGTTGACAGAGTAATTTGAGTTAACGAGCTCCTTAAAGAGCTCGGTCTCCGAACGAATTAAACTCGTAAGTCAAGGCCCCATTGTACTTAAATTTTTTTTCTGTGTATGCATGATGCCAGGTATGAGAAGATATAAAGATGAGTAAGTCAGGGTCTTTAATGAAGTTAATAGAGCAGTTACACAGAAAGACACTAAAAGATAATTTCAAAATGGCTATGGACGTTTCTATAGTAAGAAGCATACACAAAGTTTTAAGAGAAACATTAAAATAAAAAGTTAAGTCTGGGGGAGTGTTATGAGCTGAACTATGTCCCCCAAATTCATATGTTGAAGTCCTAACTCCCAGTACACTAGAATGTGTATTTGGAGATAGGGTCTTTTCTTTAAATAGGTGATTATGTTTAAATGAGGCCAGTAAGGTAGGCTCTAATCCAATCTGACTAGTCCTTATAAAAAGAGAAAATTTGGACACACAAGGAGACACCAGGGATGCATTCACAGAGGATATGCCATATGAGATGCAGGGAGAAGGCGGCCATCTGCAAGCCAAGGAGAGAGGCCTCAGGAGAAACCAACCCTGCCAACGCCTTGATCTTGGACTTCTAGTCCCTAGAATTGTGAAAAAACAACAACAATGTCTGCTGTTTAAGCCTCCTAGTCAGGGGTACTTGGTTATGGCAGCACTAGGCAACTAATACAGAGAGTCAGGAAAAAAATTCCCAGAGCTGCACTTGAATCAGGGCTCAGTGGATGAGTAGGAGTCTACCAGGTGGAAAAGAGAAAAAAGTACATTCTAGGCAAAGGGCACATGGAATGACCCAGAAGTATGAAGTATTTTCAGCATAGAGTACCAAAAATGTTTGGGGGTTGGGGAGAGAGAGAGATCATGTATGTAGTTATAGGAGATAAACCTGGAAAGTTTGCTACAGGCTTCTATTAAATTGGTTTACAATCAGTAGTGTGCTGGTAAATGACAGCTGACCATCTTGGGAAGATAGCCCTGAATTATACCACAGCATGTGCCCATTTCTGTGGTGTAAATGCTCTTACCTGATTTCAAGCTGCCATCACTGAACGTGGCATTGAGAAGAGATGCACAGAAACTCATCATTAGTTAGTATTTCCACCATATACATAGATACAGTGGACAAAACTAATCTCTAATGCATAGATAATAGTAAAAATGTACCAGAATAATTTGTAAGACATGAGTGTGGAGTATTTTCTATTTTAGGATTTAATATTATTTACTTAACTATAATTTTATGTAACAATTTTGAATAATGGCTGTGTTTCACAACTGGCTCACAGAATTCTGAAAAGTTAACAATCTGTTCTCTGAGTCAGTACGAGCACACTGCTATTCCCACCTACTATTTCATAAATTATTGAACTTGCCCTTGGGGGGTTAGGACTAAAAAAATGTCAGCATCTGCTTGAGGAGATTACACATATGCATTCAAAATGAACTTGAGAGAGAATTGCTGAGAAGGTAGAGGGTTGTGGGAGGAGGAGAAGAATCTCTGTGGCTGTGGTTACAGTCTCAGGGGTGGGGAACATCTGGCCCGCGGGCCATTTAAGGTCCGAAAAATAATTTGGTCTGGGCCTGCTAAGGCATTAGGAGTAAGTTAATTAAATGTCTGACCAAATATAGCAGGCTAATTTTTAAGTTGATAATTTTGTATAGCCCAAGAATGATGTTATAAGTATCCAAATGGCCCTTGGCAGAAAAAAAGTTTTCCCACCCCTGGACCATCACAGAGAAGGTGGGATTAACTGGAGTGGGGGTAATTTTTGGAATACAGAAGGAAGATAAATATTTCAGGGAGAGAGGAGATTGTGAGATGGAGAGGACAATCAGGTGGGGGGGGGGGGGTTTCAAATCAGATGCCATCAGCTCAGTCCCTTAGTAAACTGGGATTTACACAGGTGATTTGCACATTTATTCTGAAAAATGTACTGGGTTAACTCATTATCTTGAAAGGCAGAGGATTACAGCCTTTGGAAATCAAAGGATTCTGGCTACTATATACTATTGGCTGAGAGGGTTAGGGAGAGGAAGGGCAGTGTATTCATGGTGATGCAGGATCAAGTTCAGGTCAGGGACAAGTGGGAAAGGCATCAAGAGGAGAAGATGCTGGGGACCCCACACGCACTGGGCTCACAGATGCGGACTCCTCCATCTTCCCTCTCAAAGCCATCATCCAACCTGCTGCTCTAGTCCCTGCTCTCACCAGACTGCATCGCCTCCTCCCCATTCTCTCTGGGTCCCATCCATCCTTACCTCCTAATCCCTCCTCACTCCAGCCTCTCCTTCTTCCGCACCGGACCTTCCTGCTCAGCAGAGAACATGCTCTAGTAGCCCATCCTTAAATCTCTCAATTAAGGCACACCTTGCCCTGGCTGGTTTGGTTCAGTGGATAGAGTGTCGGCCCGGGCTTGATTCCAGTCAAGGGCACATACTCAGGTTGCGGGATCGATCCCCTATTGTGCTGGAGGCAGCTGATCAGTGATTCTCTCTCATCATTGATGTTTCTATTTCTCTCTCCCTCTCCTATCCTCTCTGAAATAAATAATAATAATAAAAAGACACATCTTCCTCCAGCTACGACCATATTGTCTTCCCAGCGAAACATCCCAGGAATTCTCTCCTCAGGGGGTCTCCACTGCCTATCACCCCTTCTTCCTCAACCCTCCCCACTCTTCACTGTCATTGTCACCAGTGATTTCTCTGTTCTACCGCAGCTAGAGTGATATTTTAAAATGTAACTCAACAACTGTCAACACTTTACTGTCGCATTTAAACTCGGCAAGGGACTTACACTTATCATCAAATACCAGCTCCTTTAGGCTAATTAAGTCCTGCAGGACCTGCCTCCTGTGTCTTCTCTCCCCGATGCTGCAACCTTACCAGCCTCCTGGAGCACACCAACCGAGCTTGATCCTGCCTCAGGGCCTTTGCATATGTGTTTCCTTTATCTGCAATGTTTCCTCACCTTCAACTCGCTCCAATTCACCGGGCTGCCTCGTCTCTCAGTGCTCAGTTCAGGTGTCCTCTGATCAGCCCATCTAATTTGCACTGACACACCTGTCCTACTGTATCACACTGCTCCACTGATTGTTTTCATAGCATTTAGTACTCTTGGAAGTAATCTTGTATAATCCTTGTTTCCCTCAGAGGTCAGCCAACTGTGGCTTCTGAGTTAAATCTTTCACGAAGCCCGGTTTTGAAATGCATTTATATTGGAACAGGTACACTCATTCATTTACAGACTGTCCATGGCTGCTTTTATGAAGTTGAAACAGAAACCTTATGACCCACAGAGCCTGAAATATTTACTATCTGTCCCTTTCAGAACAGATTTGCTGACCGCTGGTTTACTTGTTTACTGTGATTACGTGTTTATTGTCTGCCTTCCTCTACTAGAATGTCAGCACCTTGAGAGCAGGGGGTGTGTCTATTCCATAATGTGGTATCTCAGGCACTCAGAAGGCTGTCTGTCACTGCTGCATAAATGAAGGAGTGATAATGAAGGGGTGAAAATGAAGGGGTGATAGTACTGTTAACTAAAGTACTTGGGTGTTGACATTGGCCAAACCTAATAATAACAACAATACTGTTAGCCCTACTGGTGATGAGGGCTAAGGTGTTTTAACAAGAGCTAGTGTTGCTTCGGGCACTGCTTGAAAGCCTTTCTTTGCATTCTGTTATTTAATCCTTACATTAACTCAGCAAGGGAGGTTCCAGTCTACCCATTTTATACAGGAGGAAACCAAAACTCACAGAATTCAAGCAATTTGTCCATCTTCCCACTGTTGATCAGAGCACACAACTCCATGAGGTCTCTCAAGTCTATTTCTTCCTTCTGTCCTAACCTGGACAGGTCATGAACTTGAGGTAGGCAGAACTGGGTTCAATATTGGACTTCACTGCTCTACAACTTTGTCCTTGACAAGTTGTCTAGCCTGAGGCTGGGAAGTTACCACCCATTTCCCAGGATTGTAAGGATTGAGTGAGATGGGTAGAGCACCTAACGCAGTTCCTGCGACATACTGGGTGCTCAAAAATGTTGGTTCCCTTCTCTCTGTTGTAGGGCAATGAAGGACAAGTTTCAAAGCACCTGGTGGTGGTGGGCGGGCAGAGTGTGTGGAGCCAGTTCCCCTGCTTAGAAGCAATTGTGTTTTCACAGCTGGGACAGCACCTGGAGCAGGTGAGACCACACCCCGGCCCCCAGCTTTCTCCTTTTTGCTCTGGCCACTTAGCTTGAAGGAAAACAATCCCACCACCTCTTCAGCTGCTTTCCCTTTTGAGAGGCAGAGTTCTGTTTAGGCTCCTGTTTCCGCCTTCTCATACCAAGTCCCCTTGTTCTGATCACTGCCATGGAACAAAGAGACATTGAAAGAGAGCGCCATACTCAGCAACCTTCTGGGTAAGAATTCACTCTCATCCCAACACTCCCAGGATTCCCACCAATGCAGGTCAGCCACACAGAACACACAATAAAACAGAAAACCCCAATAATCGGGGCTTCCGTAGGACAGGAGCTTGTTTTTTTCCTCATTAAAATCCGGGAGTGAGCTGTCTGGGACTGTGGCAGGGACTCCCAGGCCCTCGGGCCCCAGGATTTCCACCGAGCTGATTAGAATGGGTTGCAGACAGTGGAAGAACAAAACGGGATGGCATTGAGCACAGATTTGCTGGGAGTTTTGTGATCAATGGAAGCAGAGACACGGAGAGGTACCCGGGGAGGAAAGTAAAGACACAGGAAAGGTTTTTTTTTTAAGATGGAGAAAGCATCCATGTTTGGAGGCTGGTGGGAATGGCTCAGCTGAAAGGGAAAGGAGATAGACAGAGGGAGGGGAGCATGGCTGGAGAGAGATCTCTGTGTTGGGGAGAGGGGAGGAAATTTACTCCGCGGACTGTATGGTGCATGAGCTGACTAGGAAGCAGGGCTCCGAGAAGAAAAGGGCCCTCAGCTGCTTAGGTGGGACCAGGTGGGAATTGATCAGGGAGCTCACCCAGCTTAAGCTCCAGGGCCTCTCCCTGGGAGTGTCTTGTAGGGCGTCAGGGGGCCATTAGTGACGCATTCCCATAGTTTTGCAAATGTGGTCCCACAGTTTTGTAAATCTTTTATGAGATGTTCTCATTGTAATTGATTCACCTTAAGACTGCTGTATTTTTCTACTCCGAGTCTACTCTGTCACATCTCTGTACATTCTGGGGCAGGGGTCCTCAAACTACGGCCCGCGGGCCATATGCAAATACAAATATTGTATTTGTTCCCGTTTTGTTTTTCTACTTCAAAATAAGATATGTGCAGTGTGCATAGGAATTTGTTCATAGTTTTTTTTTAAACTATAGTCCGGCCCTCCAACGGTCTGAAGGTCAGTGAACTGGCCCCCTGTTTAAAAAGTTTGAGGACCCCTGTTCTGGGGTATTGGGGTAGATGGGAGCCTTTTGGGGACCTGTGTAAGGGGGAGGTTAGTAATGTATTAGTGTGTTCTCCAGAGAAACAGAACCAACAGGAGATTATCTATCTATCTATCTATCTATCTATCTAGAGATTGATTGATCTTAAAGAATTGGCTCACATGATTGTGGAGGCTTGGCAGTCCAAAACCATCAAGGTGGACTGGCAGGCTGGAAACCCAGGGAAGAGTTGCACTCTGCAGCCAGAGACGGACTGAGTCCGCAGGCAGCATTCCTTCTGCTTCAGGGAAGGTCAGTCGCAGTGGTTCTCAACCTTCCTAATGCTGTGACCCTTTAATACAGTTCCTCATGTTGTGGTGACCCCCAACCATAAAATTATTTTTGTTGCTACTTCATAACTGTAATTTTGCTAGTGTTATGAATCGTGATGT